ATTATATATATATATTTTTATATAAATTTTAAATTTTTAAAAATTTTATAAATTTTATATATATTTTATTTATATATATTATATTTATATATATATATATATATATTTTTTTTATTAGTTTAAAATTATTTTTGGGGCACATTTATAAACAAGAGAGAAATTTTTTAAATATTTCATGAAGTCCATCCACTCCTTAGAAGAGGGTTTGGGGAATCAAATTTTCAACAGGCATTTTCCATCAGGGTCGCGCAGACACTGCAACGGAAGGGAAAAAAAACCCCGGGGTATTAGTATTTGATGCGTTGGAATTTAAAGGAAACCCCGTTGTAGGATTCCCCCCTGGGCCGAGTCCCCGTTTTCACTGGGACAAAGCTCCCGATCCCCATGTTTTTGAGTTTAATTTTTTCCCTCAGTTTTTAGCCCTGCTGTTGCTCAAAAAAAAACAAATATGGGCGTAACTTTGTAGAAAATCAGGTACAGTCCCACTACTGTCTGCACTTTCCGGGGGTAGTTGGCCCCATCAGGGCGTTTTGTGGGATACAAAATTTTTACACAGTGAATGAAAAAGTCACGCCAAAACACTTTCACATTTGTCAATTAATTTTTATACGTAGGAGAAATTGGGAAAAAATACAGTATATAAAAGAAGAAAAGGGGCAATTTGGCCTGCAGAATTGTGTTTTTTTATTATTTTAAAAAATATATTAAAGTTCTGGAAAGAGATGAGTTTTGAAGGTAATATTAATTTTTAACAGTGAAGAGTTCACTCTTCATTGTGTATAATTAATGTCAGTTGTCAATGATGCGTGCTCTATTCTTTTTTAAAATAATTAAGGCCTACTAAGGGCAGTGCGTGAAATAAAGGATAATACAACACAGAGCAGAGCGAACATTAAAAGACAATGTTTTTCTAGAATAGATGACCTTTGGGAAAGTCTCCCAACTCTGGTAAGGCGCTCGCATTTAGAAAAGTTACTCATAAATATTTGTTTGTCATATTAGCTCCTATACTTTACGATCTCTTAATCCAACTGGCGTGCCAAAAGAGAGTGAGATGCTCTTACCAGTGGGCGGGACAAAGGCAAAGAGCACCTTCCAGAAGACTGTTATGAAGTGCATGACGTAGTCCATGCAGGAAGGTAGCTTCTCCTCTCCTCCTTCTTCATCTTCATCATCCCCTTCTTCGCCTACAGGAGGAAGAAAATAGCTATAGGAACGCTATGGAGGTGTATTGTAGATCATGTTAAATGGAAGAGTATTTATAATGAAATTTTGCGTTATATATACATATTTCTGTTATAAACATTGAGATGTTTTATATTGACAACGTAAATTAAATTACATAAAAGCGGGTTCTATTTTTATTCTTTTCTCGGTAGTTCATAGACTTAAAAAAAACATCACTGAAGTGAATTTAATATAATTTATGTTTGACTCAAAATCTTTTATTTCAAGGAATTTTTTGCTTGATCATATTGAAAACTATTACTTTGAAAGCTATTTTGAAACTTGTCCCAAAGAATAATGTTTATAATGGGAACATCATCTAAGTATTATATGAAAGATAACAGCAAGGTTGTGGAAAAATGTACCTAAAATGTACGGAAAACAGAAAGGTTAGAAATGGGAACAGAGAATGTTGACATCAAGTTGAAGGTGTGAGTTGAATATTGTAACTAATATTATATACAGTTGAAGATGGTATTTAATATATTAGTTGAAGATAGTATCTAACATTATGTCCAGTTGAAGATCTAATAGTTCTTATGTAAAGCTGAGAATGGGATTCAGAATTGATCAAGTGCGGTGGATGATGAGCTCTAGGATGGTTAACGTCCGATCAAAAGATATGGTCAAGGATTATTTACATCATGTTGGCAACTGGAACGAAGACTGTGTATATCCACTGAATGGTGGGATCAGCTGAAGTGTCTCTGAAGGCGAAATATATAGAGTTTTTCAGTTTCTGCTATTCTTTCATATAGGATTTACAGTTTTATTGTTCAGTGTTGACACTTTATCAGTATGAATCTAAAGTTTTTTAGTGTAAAGAAATTAGTGTTAGCATAGTGTAAATATTTCAGTTTCAGCATAACAGTATAAATACATTAGCAGGGGAAGTTAGTACTGTGGTGTGTGTGTGTGTGTGTGTGTTGTGTGTGTGTGTGTGTGGATTTTATAGTTGACTTGTATGTTGTTAAATTAACACAAATGAAGAACTAAGTAACTCGGTTCATGGATAAGAACAGTACCGGACGGGAAAACTGGGAAAAAAAAATGGCACTTGGAAATGGTGGAAGAAATACTTGAAAACTAGCGGGAAGGGAAAGAGGAAGTGAAGGATGTAACGATACTGTGAATTAAGGAAGAAACACCACAGGGAACTAGGGAAAGAAATAAAAATGGGGACACGAAACTAAAGAAGAAATTAAGCTTGATAACGGAATGCCAAACAAATTGCCGACAAATGTGGTATAAGAATCAAGTATTGATAGTGAAGTATTACAGGAGTAATACTTCACTATAATACTGAAAGTGTAAGCTTTATATAGTCCTACAAAGGTACCATATTCTTAATTATCAACCTCGAGTTCACATAAGTAATGATTAAGGAGGAAAACGGAGTAGATGCCTAGAACATAAAAATTTTCATATTTGCACCAGCTATTGCATAACTCATTCTCTGAAAATATGAACTAATTCCAGAACTAATGATGCATGACTCCGCCTCCTTTGTAACCACTGAGATCGTCCTCATGTGAGATCTTCCATGCTTGAAAGGGCTCTGACAAAGTCTGAATCCGCTTACATATGTAACATTCCTGAGAGCCAGGCTGTGGTGCTTACGTGGTCTGAGGGCAACTAGCACCAACAACTTGACTAACCAGATCATCATCCAAGAGGCCTATTCTGAGACCTGGAACTATCTGAAACTACAGGTTAACCTCAACACAGTCCAACACCTGGTTTTCAATCGCTGTGACGGAGTATGTAAACTTTAACTTGGTTTCTCTGTAGGTAACGCTATAAAATGCTATACTCGTAATGGTTATAATCATAACTATGATTTCTATAGAGGTGGACCGGTAAGCCAGCGGAAGTCCTCGGTCAGATGACCAAAAGATCCAGCTCTGAGTCATATGACTTAAGATCTGATATCAGGAAACACTTGTCCTGCTTCCTGACAAACATTATACCTTCAGCATTATGGTCCTCTATATTACTTATAAAGCTCACACATAAATGAACTTAATGAATGGGAAAGGCACGGGAAGGAAATATTGAACGTAAATATTCAGCTGTAACCTACAAGAAGCAGGAAACAAATAAAATAATCTTACAGGAGATAAAAACTAAGTAAATTGTTTGTTAATGCCCTAAATACTTTTACAGATTTTCTTTACTGAACTTACGTTAATAAAATTGGGTTACCATGAATGTTACTACAAGCAATAAAAATAAATCAAGTTCATAAAATCAGTGTAAAATCAACGGATAAAAATGGTAGAAATATCTGACGAAAAGCAGAGATGTGTTTACTAGAGTATTCAATAAGCCAGTGTATTGTTCAGGGCATCAGTATAAGAGAGAGTACATACACAAATTCCTAATTTAAGAGTGCAGATACAGGTATAAGTCGAGAGTATAGACACAGTTACAAAAGTTGAGAGTACAGACACAGGAACTAGTTTGAGAGAACATAAGGAAAAAAAATGAGAAAAAATATAGTGATATGATTCGAGTATTGCAAAGGAAGTGGTAAATACACAGTATTTCTAGGCAAAAAACGAAAAGGGGAAAATTAGATGCTGGTTGAAACTATAGCTGCGTCTTGCAGGGCAAAATGTGTTTTGCTTATAGTGATGGGGATGGGGGGGGGGAGTATTTTGTAGACAGCATTGCTGTTTAAATAGCTGTAAAATAAAGAATTAAGACTACTTGTCTACTTCAACTCACTACAATAAATAGCAATATGTTCTACCACGAAAACATTTCAGAATCAGGCAAAAACAATATCTACTTGGAGTGGTAAATCACGAATGAAATATTTTGTATTTAAAAAAAAAAAACAGGTAATTCTGTCAAAGGTTTACAAACTTCATTACCTCAAGTGTAAACTCATCCTGAATGATGGAATAAGACAGAAAAACCGAACCTTGTCGATGAAGTATGATAGAAAACCCATCTTTTATGAACAGCGAGTTACCTAAATATATCTTTTGCTCTAACCTTATAAAATATTGCATAAATCAAGGCAGACGCACAGTGTGTTTGCACTGATGTTTTTTGCAATGACATTATTATTGAGTTTTTTTACAACTTGAGGTACAAGAGAGCTCCTGTGCTCACAGTGAAGAGGTACGCAGGCACTACCATACCTATAGAACAACATGCGGGTCTTAACCAAGAAGTACATAAGTGTGAAGTCTAATGTACACATTTTACAGGCAAAACTTGTACCTACCATAAGTTGGTGCAAATGGTTGCATGGAGGAAAGAGTACATGACATGAGCGTAATTCTACCATGCAAGATTATAGAACTTTCTGCAATGGTTCTAAAGAGCAGTATCACGCACTACGGATCCTAGATACAGACACATCAAACAACAACAGATTATAATTAATATTATCTCAGTAAGTATTATTTGTTACATGATCAGAGGATTGACAACACAGCCGCTATTGTAAAAAAAAAAAAAAATCTTTTTTTTTTTTTAATTCCAGGATAAACATGACGTTTGGCTGTAAGCAAAAGAAAAAAAAATGACTGCCAGATAGCCGGCACTCTGTAAAGTGGTGCAAGCCACAGCACAATGCAACACTAGGGGCCACAGCAGCCACGCCACATCCTCACGTCACCTACCATTCCGAAGCATCGCCCAGCAAGAGTAGAAGAGATAAAAAAAAGAAATGCCTCAGTTAGCCTTTTTAATACTAAGCACTATAACTCACGAGAAGTAACTCAGTCCCTGTCATATATATATATATATATATATATATATATATATATATATATATATATATATATATTATATATAATATATATATATATATTAACTTTTATAATATAAGGATTTTACCCGGAACTGATTTGATTACATAAGAGTAAAGTTAATTCATGTGAGGTCAATATTGATCTGGGCTTTAACAACCAAAATGTTTTGTAAATTTAACCAATTTTGAAATCATCTATTTTTATAATTCCTGAAAATATACTTAAATTCAATAACCACTAAGTGTTTCTTCAACTATTAATTTGCATGGGGAGAAAATAATAATTCTTAATGAATGAAAAAGATAAATGAAATGAGTTAACAGGAAGCATCGGAATCCTGGTTAGACTTAGTGTTGATTTATGTGGCTTTGATTTTATACTTGGACTCTTATTGAAATGACTCTCATCATTATCTAAAGATTTCGTTATTAGAATTATTTACAACTAGATTTAGAATTAGAAGTTTTATGTAAAAATTTTGAGTTAGAAGAGAATGTCACCAAGTTTGCAAGATATAATATCGACAAAGTTTTTATTTTTATATTTATTTTTATATATGTGTTCTCCACCACCATGATCTTGACTGTATGTTTGTTGTCCAAAGTTCGCAGATGAAGAAAAATATTATTGCATATTTTTATATTTCTCTTATTTTTCTTGTCTGTGGTCACCCATTTTTGACATTTCTACTTCTAAGTTTGCAATTATTTTTTCTTTTACTTCTCATTTATTTAACTTTTCGTGATTGTTTTTTTCTTCTACAATTTATCAATCTATTTTTTGGTGAACTTTCGTATTGAAGTCTTTATCAATTCTTATTTAGTTTTTTAATTCTAGTAGAGTAATTTTGTTTTCTTTTTTGTATATCTTCAAAATATAATGTCCTTTATCCTTTTTTTTATATTCCAACTACTAACTATTGTTTTCTCTAGACCTGGGGTTCTCAACCTAGGGTATCCATACCCCTTGGGGGGTATTGGTACCAAATAATGGGGTGTGGGAACCAAATAATGAGGGTATGGGACTCGTTCTCTGAACAATTTAGAAAAAAAGCTCTTGTTTGATTAGGATAAACTATCAGCTATTGTTTTCCTAGTTATCCACACGTAAAGTAAAAGCCAGCTATTGACATGTTTGGCAGTCATACTGGTACCTAATACCAGTATGATAGTGATGATTTCCACAGTCTG